CCTGGTATTGATCTCCACCTCCAGCAATCGAATTTATCAGTCAATTTAGCTTATCCCGCACTGTCAAATTCGCAGCTAGAAAAGAAAAACTACAGGTGACACGGCGCATTTGTTTGTGACGTACTTGAGGTTGCTATGGATCTCGTTGTAAAACTATAGCCATTTGCAGCTCCTCAACGCTGATACTTAAGTATTACTACATGTGGTGCCTTGCATACTGTATGACACGATAACGCAGCATAGGAACTTCTAAGTTGTTTTTGACAACACAAGAACACTGCAATAAGGGAGAAGAATCAATTTATGGAGACGCGCTTATACTGATCTCTATCGCTGTCGCTTAGGCGAGCAGGCCGAACTTCGTCAGGAATCCCTTGAGCGGTTCGTGGATCTCGTCGTTGAACGGCTGGGTCTTCATGCGAGCGATCCAGGCAGAGACCTTGGGGTACTTGGAGAAGTCGTAGCCCATAAGCTCGAGCTGGTCGATCTCGCAGTAAGCTGTGTAGTCAGCGATAGTAGGGAAGTCGGTGTGTGCGATGAAATCGTTGACCAGGAAGGTCTCCAGCAGAGTGCACTCCTTCTCAATAAGAGCGTCTTTACCCTCCAATGCAGCCTGATCCTTGGGCGTATCGGCGTTTAGTTTCTTAGCGATCTCCGGTCGAACGATGTTCAATGTGAACAGACGAGTGTTGGTGTGGTGCCAGTGCAGGAACTCGTTGATCTTGGCGCGGGTCTTGAGGTCTTTAGGGTACAGATCCTTCGGGCCGGTCCAATCGTACCTGTCACCCAGATACTGCAGGATAGCCATGCCCTCGGTCAGCACGAAGTCGTCGTCCTTGATGGCAGGCACGAGACGGTTGGGGTTGATCGCCTTGAACTCGTCCGACTTGAAAAAGTCGCTGCCCGGAAGCACTGGCACGAGTTCGTGGTCAACACCCTTGACCTTGAGAACCCAGGCAACAGAGCGAGAAGGCTGGCTGATGAGGTTGGCGTAGAGCTTGAGAGTCATAATGATCAGACGAAGAACGCTGCTTGAGTTGGAGACGGCGGCTTGAAGAATGACAAGAAGCTGACACGGTATCCGCTGCAGCTGGTGACGTATTCTTCGTCCTTCTCTAGCCGTATTATGGGCCACAGATCGGCGGGCAGGTGCTGATGATGCAGCTAGGGGTGCTTACATAAGAGCTCCGGACAAGGTAGGACTTGCACCGGTAGAGTATCGACATGGTGCGTGGCGATGCCGAAATGTTCACGTAAAAAATTATGAGAGAGTTAAGTTCAGGACAAGATGTTGATGGCATAGCAGGACTTTTGATTTTTATCGATTCATATGCAAGACACCTGGTGTTCGTCTATTACCACAAGTACGGTCACTACATCCTATTCTGAAGTACTCACGGCTTGTCCGTCTTGGCCTCTGCCTCAACGCGCAAACCGAGCTTGGTCAGGAACTTGTCGAGGCCTTCGCGCACTTCGTCGTGGTGGGGAATTTGCTGTCAGAAACAACAAATGCGTGTTAATGACCCTGTAATGAACGAAAAAGCTATGAAACAGCGTGTACGAACCTTCATCCGTGCGATCCAGGCCGTCACCTTGGGGTACTGTGTAAAGTCGTACCCCATCATCTCAAGCTGATCGATCTCGCAGTACGCGGCATAGTCTGCGATGGTTGGTGCATCTGTATGCGCGACGTAGTCCTTGTCCAAGAAAGTCTCGAGGAGCGTCATCACCTTTTCAATTAGGGCGTCGACGTTCTCGAGGAACGTAAAGTCTGAAGGTGACGCCTTACCGGACGCCTTAGCCGCAGCCGGACGGAGGATCTGCACTGTGAACAACCGGGTGTTGGTGTGGTGCCAATTCAAGAACTCGTCCACCTTGGCACGTGTCTGCATGTCGGTCGGGTACAAGTCCTTCCACCCAAATTTTACAGCGGAGTAAGCCAGAATGGCATTGCTACAACAGCAAACGTTAGTGCACAGTGCACAGGCTCTGATAGGCCAGCAACGCATTCATACCCTTCAAAGAGAGAGAAGTCGCCGTCTCGAAGGACCGGAACAAGCGCGTTGGGGTTCCATGCCTTGAACTCGTCCGACTTAATGAGTTCTCCACCGAACTCGACGTTCACGAACTCGTAGTCTGCACCCTTGACCTTTAGAGCCCATGCGACTGCATTAGGGCAAAATTAGAGCATTAGAGATTCAAGATCTATCTCTAACCAAACGCGAACGCTTACCTGCGCGACTGGGCTGACTAACCATGTTGGCGTAGAGCTTGAAGCTCGACGTCTTCTGTGGAGAGGATGAACTAGAACTGTTGCTCGCAGCCTTGCTGACGCGACGAGTGAATCGAGCCAAGGAGGTTGGCAAGCCTGTTGGTAAGCTAGGCGTCGGAAGGCTTGGCGTCGGCAAACTCCATCCACCCATGTTTTAATACGATTGAGTTCCGGTGGAGAGTGACGTGGTTTGTTCTGTAGCTGGTGAGTTGGATTGTGCTTGCACTTTACCTCAAGACAATGGCATCAACTGAAGGGTAAAGGCATTCAGTACATCTTCAGATCAACACGTCTCTATCCTGGAACGACTGTAACGGTGTTACCAACACCCTAAAATGCAGTCGGTGACGGAGAAAGCAACTGTAGATACCAAGTAGAGCTCTGTTTCTATCATGTGGAAGACTGTAACAGTCTGAACTTGGTCTAACGTTAGCGCTTCCAAGTCGCACTCTTCGAGTCTGACAGTTCGTACGGGAAGAGCGGCGCACGCGGCACGACAGAGAGCCCACGGCACGTGTGGACGGAGATCTTGCCCTGGTTTAGCGTCTTCTGAGACGCTGCCGTGCCGTCCAGGTCTACGGCTGTGACGGATAGCCACCCGAAGCCTGGCACTTCCAGCTCCACTACGGTCGTACGCTTGGGCTTCTTGTGCTTGGACTTGGTCAGCACACTGTCGAGCATATAGTCCTTCAAGTAGACGTTCTGGGACAGCGTAAGTGGACCGGTAAAGCTCATAGCATCCAGTCCACGAGGCGGTGAGAGGATGCCACCAGCGTGCTTCACAAACGTATCTTCGGCACCTATTTAGTAAAAAAAAATCGTTTAGAACGATAAATTTAAAGGAATGATACGAATACAACACAGACGTACGTTCCGTGCTGGTGAGGTGTCCAGGCAGCACGCCGTACCATGACAAGAGCAGGAAATTCTTGTCGCTATCCTTTCCGAGAGTCTCGTAGTCGAAGCGGGCAAGAGCCCCAAGGAACAAGCTTCGACCGGGACGAACGCGATACGTTGTAACCTGAATAAATCCACATGAGTTAGTAAGAAAAACATAGGTAAACCAGATCATCAATGACGTACTGGTAGCTGCTTGGTCGGGAACACGTTCTTGAGCTTGGCGGCACCATCCAGAGCAAGGACTTCTACGAGCTTCTGTCGCTTTGAGTCCGTGATCAAACCAGGAGTGTCGAGGATGTTGAATACCTCGTTGCGTACCATAACAGGCAGATACTGGACGGCCAGGGTCGTACCGGGCAGAGGCGACGTGGTCATCTCGCGATCTTCCTCAGAACTGGTCTCGATCATTTCCGGGTCTTCGCCTGGGGCAACGTACAGCTCACCGTGTGGAGTTTTGACGGTTTGTTCACCTTCCATTGCTGCTTCCTTTTCCCGTTCAGCCTTGGCTTCGGCCAATAATTCGTCATCAATGTTCAGCATCGTCGCCGTCTCATCGTCCTCCAACTCGGATAACTGCACCTCCGACATCTTCATGTACTTGCGATGGTTGTGCTGCCACTTGCGGTCTACTAAGTGAGACAGGAACGAGTTGAGGAACGTCGACTTGCCTACATTCGCAGCGCCCACCACGCAGATATCGCGGTTTTGCCGGTACTTGGCTACATCTTCCACGATCTCCTTCATTCCAATACGCTTCATGGCACTGATTAAGTAGATGGAGATCAGGTTGTCAATCCCTGCATCCCTACAAACGCAAACTGTTAGTATTCCACCTTCTTCACGCAAAAAAAAGCAGTTCGTACTTGGCCTCCTGCTTAATCCTCCTCATAAGTCTTCTGATACCCGACTTGGTGGGCACCAGATCTCCTTTGTTGACCACGAGCATGACAGGCTTCTTGCCGAAGATGTGACGCGCCTTGGGTAACAGACTGCCGGAAATGTCGAGGATGTCCACCAGCTGGATCATGAGCATGTCCTTGCTGCGCAGCTCCATGACGCGTCGCTCGTACTCCTGATACGGCATCTTGGTGTCTGATATCTTGCCGTATTGTGTCATCTGGAAGCAGCGCTCGCAGCGCAGCCGCTTGAGCTCCTTGAGGTCCTGTACATTGCTCAGCAGCTGCTTGGGGAAGTATCCGACCTGTTTGGGCTCCTTGTACTGCAGTTCAATGCCACAACCACTGCATGTCCACTGCTCCATGATGGATACATGGTTCAGGATCTGTTCGACTGTAAGTGCGGGCTTCTCAGCGGCGGCAGCGGCGTGGAGAGCGTCAGTGGACTTGGACTGGCCCGATGACGAGCAATTGCGGCGGTTGGAAAGAGAATTAGACGACGTAAGAAACGCAAGTGGATGTGCACACGCGGCAGCTACATGCTGAAGAGAGTGTAGGCGCTGCGACGCCAACAACGCGCCGCGAGAGGAGCGCAATATCAGCGTCCGGACCGACAGCATGCTTGCCACTCAAAAAGTGCAGGTGTTAATAGTTTTGTGTGAAACTTATGTATTAAGTGTTTTACACAAATCGTACAGTGCTCACTAAATTATGTTTGGACCAAAAAAAAAGTTTGTGCGGATCACTAATTCGGGGATAAATCTTCTAAAAAGGCGTTCTAAAGCTGGATCTATTAGCAGTCGAAACAAATGGAACACAGATATATACCTGGACCCACAACAAAAGTCTGGAACACCGGGCGAACTCAGGCACCATTTAATGCCGCACTTGATTGCTTGACAAATTAAAAGCTTCACACGAATCCACGTAAGATGCTGCGTCTTTAGTGTGCAGCAG